TTTTCAGATAGTCCAGTGATTGTTAAATTTTTTCCTTCTATCTCTTTTCCAGGTCAATTGTTTTTTTCTATGAGATACCTTTTTATTTTCTTCAGTTTTTTTTTTGTATTTTGACTTTGTTTTATTATTTCTTGTTGTCTCATGGAGTCATAAGCATTTATTTGGTCATTTCTAATTTTCAGGGAGGTTTTTTTCTCCTTTGGGTAAGGTTTTGTACCTCTTCTTTTTTTTTTTTTTTGCCTTTTTGGGGAGGTGATCAGGGTTAAGTGACTTGCCCAGGGTCACACAACTAGTAAGTGTTAAGTGTCTGAGGATGGATTTGAACTCAGGTCCTCCTGAATCCAAGGCCAGAGTGCTATTCACTGCACCACGTAGCTGCCCCTGTATCTCTTCTTCCAATCTATTAATTCTCTTTCCAAATCTTTCTTCCATAGCTCTCATTTCCTGTTTTTCTCCAGCATTCTTAACTCTTTTAAAAAACTCTTCATCTCTTTTAACAATTCTCTTTGGACTTAGTCTATGCAATACTTTTCTTTGAGGCCTTACTTGTGGATATTTTATGTTCATTCTCTTCTAAATTTGTGTCTTGAGATTTCCTGCTACTACAGTAATGCTTTGTAGGAGGATCCTTTTTTATTTGTCTGTTTGATCATTCTTCCAGTCCACTTCCTGACTTCAGACTTTATGTTAGGGCTAGACTTGTCACACTTCTGCGGGAATCTCTGAACTAAGATTTTGAATGTTGTGCTATTCCTGGTTCTCAAGGACAGCTCAGGCTGGGGATCTGCAAGCTTGCATTGCTCCCGAAGTAATCTGATAACAGGGTAACAGCACTCCTGGTCTTAACTCTGCAAGTTTCTGAACTTGGTTTAGGTTTACATAACATTCCTATTGGTTTGTTCATGATTGGAAGTTCCAATAGTCTGCTGCTGGATTTAGCTGCCATCTATTCAGCCAACTGGAAATCTCTGTTAATTCAGAGTGACAGAACTGCGGGCTCCCCTTTGTCTCCCCCTTTGTTCTGGGATTCCTTCCCTGTTTATTCACCCTTAAGGCTTCACACTGGGCTAGAGAATGGAATTAAGACCCTAATCAGCTCCTGGGGTCAGAACCACACAGCCACTGTTTACTTCTGAATTTCTTCCTAGATCAGTACACAGCCTAGGGCTCAATCCAGAAATACCACATCTAGGCAGAGGTCCCTTCTTCTCAGTCCATCTTGGACCTGTGGTAATGAACAAAAGAACTGCCACTTGGAACTTTTTCCCAAATCTTACACAAAGTCTAGGTATCCTCTTATAAGTCTGGGAACCCATCTTGCCTTGTGTGCCGAAATGACACATACCTAGCCATATTCTTTTACCAGTGTACACGAACCTCTCTGTCTCCCTATGCCAACTCATTCTGGAAAAAAGATGTAATTGTAATTTTTTTCTTGAATTTCTGATTAGGACTTAGTTTGATGTATTTTCTAGAAACTGTCTGTAATTCTTCTTGTTGCTCTGCAATATTAACTCTACCCATTTGTTTTCTAATGTATTAGCATATTTACTTCGAAATTGGGAGAACGTGTGTGTTATGACAGCAGCCAATTTTAAGAAATCATCATTTATCAGTATTTCTCTTTCCCTTTTAATTAACCACATCCAATTAAACTTAACAAATACTTAGTAAATCCCTATCATGTGCAGAGTACTATACTCAGTTCTAATTAATGTATTAAGTTTAGCTGTAGCATATTCCCTTCTTTCGTGGAGCGGGGAGATGTGACACATACATATGCAATTTTGTGGAGGGTCCAAACCTGTGATACCATTGGTTAGGGCATTTCTGGTTTTAGAAAAAGATCCCTCTTTATAGACCTGCCCCACTTCTGTAATTTGTAGTCTTTAAAGAGTTGTCTAGGGCACTGTGAGGTTAAGTGATTTTCCCAGGGTCACACAACCAGTATGTATCAGTGACATGTATTAAACTCAAGTCTTCCTTGCTCTGAGATGGGCCCTCTGTTTAACAATGCCATACTGGCTCAGATGCTTATAATCTAGCCAATAGCTCACTAACATTCAGATTCCTTAAGAGTCTACCCAATATGACGGATGTTCTAATAAACCTTGTCTTTGGCTGGGGGAAAAAAAACAATGCCATACTCATAGTAAAGGAATAAAGTGTTTTATTTGAGGTTCAAGTAGGTTGGTTAAAAGATCCTTAATAACTAAATGAATACAAGCAGTCTTTCTGGAGGTGATACCATTTTAATAAAAATAGCATCTTTAAATGATAAGTAGGAATTTAGTAGACAGTGAAGATGCAGGCATAGGAGACATCATAAAGAAAGGAAAGAAAATGGAAAAATGTATATTGCGGGGAGGGATGATAGTGCTATTTAAGAGAAATGGTAAATCGTCTACTATGAATAGGCCATAGATTACATGGAAAGAAATAACATGAGAGAAGATTGGAAAGATACCACAATGAAGGACTTTGAATCCTAGCCTAAGCATTTTACATTTTACTCTCAGATAAAAGATTTATGTAACAAGATCTGTGCATAAAGGCATTAAGTCTAATGGCTTCTAAGTGATGATTTGGAAAGGTGAAAGAGAAAGTAAAGGTAACCATACAAGTTAAGAAACTACTGCAGTAGTTGTGTAGGTGTTAATGGAGGCCTATATTAGCATGGTGGAAGTATGAATCAAAAGAAGGAGATGAAGGTAAGAATTATTGTCAGAAGGAGGACTTAGTAATTACTAAGTATTAGTTACTTAGTAATTACTAGGAAAGGTTTAGTAATTAATTAGACATGAGGTAAAAGAAGGAAAAGTCAAAGAGAACACCAAAGTTTAAAACATGGGAGACAGAGTGAAGTGAAAAAAAGAGGATTAGAAGGAAAAGTAACGAACTAGGTTTTGAACATGTTGAATATGAGGTGCTCGTGGGGTATTCAGGTAGAGTTATCCTGTAATCGATCATTCAGCACTTTTAAAGCATGCCATCTACCAGGAACTATGGTAAGTGCTCGAGATTCAAAAAGAGGCAAAAGACAGTCCCTGCCTTTAAGGAGCTTACAGTTTAATGGAGGGAGACAGCATACAAACGTGTCCATCCAACACAAGCTACGTATAGGATAAACAGGGAAATAATTAACAGAGGGAAGGCACCAGAATTAGGAGGGTTGGGGAAGATTTCCAGTAAAAGGTGGGATTTTAGTTGGGACCCAGGGAAGACAGGGAGATCTGTAGGCTGAGCAGGAGAGAAAGAGCATTCCAGGCATGGGAGACAGCCAGAGAAAATGCTCAGAGGCAACAGATAGAATGTCTTGGATGTGGAATAGCCAGGACACCAGTGTCACTGGATCCAATAGTACACATAGAGCAGTAAAGTGGAAGAAGGCTAGAAAGATAAGAGGAGGCAGGGTTATAAAGGGCTTTGAATGCCAAACCATATTTTATATCTGAACCTGAAGGTAATAGGAAGGAGGAGGACCTGCGTTTTAGGAAAATCACTTTGGTGGCTGAATGGAGGATGGAAGAGAGTGAGGAGAGACTTGAGGCAGGCAAATCCACTGGCAGCCTATTGGAATAGTGCAGGCATGAGGTGAAGAGGGCCTGTATTAGAAGGGGGTGTATTTGAGAGGTGTTACAAAGGTGAAATCAAAAGGCCCTGGCAGCAGATTGGACATGGGATGTGAGAGAGATTGAGGTGTTTAGGTTGCACACCAGAGTTACCCTCTATAGTAATAGGGAAGGGTAGTTGGGGGGTAAGTCAAGGCAAGATTTACCGGGAAGTAATGAGTTCCATTTTGAACATGTTGAGTTTTAAGATGTCTACTGGACATCCAATTTGAAATGTCTGAAAGGCAGCTGGAAATGTGAGATTAGAGGTCAGAAGACATATTGAGGCAAGATAGGTAGATGTGAGAATCACCAGCATAGTGATGGTAATTAAATACGATTAAACTCAAGTGTAGACAGAGATGTGGACCTTAAACTCAGAAAGCAACTCAGAACTAGATATATAAAGGGCTTCATCTGACTAAAGGTTATAGTTGAAGCCATTGGTAATTTTTTTCCTTTCAAAAAAAGTTTGTTGATATATTGTTTTTATATTATATATATTTTACATTATAATTAACAAATTACTCCAACTCTATGAGAAGTCTCTTGTAACAAAGTAAAACAGTTAAGCAAAACTAACAACATAGTGACCTTATTTGAAAGTGCATGCTACATTCCACATTTATATCACCTCTAACTTCTCTATTTAAAACTTTTCTAAAACATTAACAAATCTATTTTCTCTCCCTCCCACTCTACTCCCCTAGTTGACTAAAAAAAAAAAAAAACAAATTTCTTGTAACAAATATGCAAGTAAAGCAAAATCCCTCATTGTTTGTGTACAGAATATGTCTCATTCTGCGCCATTAAACTGTTGCCTCTATCAGGAGGTGTATAGTCTGGTTCATACTTTAAAATCATGAATAGTCATTGTATTGATCATAGTTCTTATAGTTTTCAAAGCTGTCTTTAAAACACTGTTATTGTATTGGTTGTGTGTGTATATGAAATCTGTATTTACTTGGGTGTACAAGTATACTGTTATTGTATAACTTGTTCTGGTTCTACACATTTTATTCTTTATAAGTTAATTAAAAATGTTTAAATTATTCGTTTTTATAATATTGATATACTACCAATTATTCTTACTTTACTTTGTATCAGTTCATGTCTTTCCATATCTCTTTGAAATCTTCTATTTCTTACATCATTCTTATTTCTTACAAATCATTCTTGTTTCTTACACCATACTATTCATCACATTCATATACCATAACTTATTCAATTTATTCGTAGTAATAATGAGAGCAAAATAAATACATGCAACCTTAGAGTGAAATGACTTGCTACAGCTCATGGGAGTAGGTGCTTATTATGTATATGTAATGTATTACATCGCAGAATTCCTTTTAATATTTATATTTATTTTCTGTTTTATTTCTATAGCAAACCCAAGGAACCAATTTTCAGTGCAGGTAGGTCTGGTTTTATTTTACTTTATGTACCCTTGCTTCTTCAAATCTAGAGATATTAATAAGAACAAAAGGTTTCACAGGTATAGAATTTGAGCATTTCACCCTTTTGTCACTGAATTCACTGATAAGAAAGTCTATAACATTTGTATGATGGAGATTATGTAAGACAAGTACACAATGTCGGCTTAGCACCCAATTACAAGTAATTCAGATAATAATTGGTACTCTTTTTTTGGTCATTAACAGCGAGACCAAGATTTTAAAGGTTCTAGAGACTCTTAACCCTGTAATTGGTCCCTTTCCAAACTGGATTTAAGGTACTTTAATTTGGCAGTATGGGGGAAGATTGAATTGCCACTGCCCATGCTATAACAGGATTTTCTATGTTGAAAGATAAAGGGCTTCTGTTTCCTTTGTTACTAACTAGGCTTCTTTCATAAACATTTGCATTTCTTTAAAAGGGGAAGCTTCTGATGCATCAAATTATAACCCTGTCTAAAAGTAACTTTTTTTTTGCCTTTTGATTTCCTATACTGCACACTAATAGTTAATATATACATGTATACATCTATTATTTTCTTTTAACACATTTCATAATAAGGGAAATGCTACTTTAGTGTATTAACCTTATTTTAAATTGCATTGAAAATGCGAACACTCTTCTTAAGTGTCCAAGTTGAAGAAGCTAATTTAATATTACTTTTTCTTAAAATAAATTTATAATTAAAATATGATTATTTGAAAAACAAATTTTGTCCGTATACATTTTATCATCCTCCACTGCCATCCTTCTCTAATGCTTCATCACAGTGTGGAGGTGACCCTGGTTTCTCATAAGCAATTCCAGGGGAGTGCAAGCTCTGCCAAGGTTCTACCAAGCTTGAAAGTCTTTTGTGTGTGGCCCGGCAACGGACTGTGCCCAGGGTCTGAGGATCAGACTAACCAGAAGTTCAGAGAGGCTTACCATCAGACCACTGACCATCAACTGATTATTTTTTCCTTTGGCCATAGTCATTTATTAAATTGTCTCCTAAAGGAGGGGCCATGACGCTGATTCGAGTACCCATGTTGATGAAATCATGGATCATTGAAATATATCATGGGCACCTCAAAGAGCTTGGTATTGAATGCACTTGTAACCATTCAAGGGAATGGTCAACATTGAATCAATTGACAGGGTAGCCTCTAACTGAAAACAGGTGAACAAGTGATAGAGCAGGGATCAGGGCAGTCTTGTTGTACTTGAACATCTCTTTATCAAGCACTTCTGTCTCTGTCTCTGAAATCACAAAGGGAAACGCCGTGTGACACACTGCAAAGGTAGGCTTCGTCTCTGAAACCTCATAGCTCTCTGAGCAAAACTATTACCCAGGCTACAGCAACTTACTTTTCATACAGGCAAACACAAAGTCTTCCTGTATGAATTTTTTTTTGGCAATACAATCCACTTCAATTTACTTTGTTAAAAGCATTCATAAGTGTCTCCTTGGATATGTTCCAATTAAAGGCTATAATTTGGATCTTGGTTTATCTTGGCAGATACTAGGAACTTATCTTTAAAAAAAATCTTAAGAGAGCTATATGGCAATCCCTGGATTCCCCATTGTGTTTGAAATTATATCCTGCACTTCTGCTGAAATATCCCTACTAAAAAGCCTGTAGATTTGGTGGTTGCTTGCTGTTGTTCTAATGTATGTCTGAAAAAGCATTGCTTTTCCCTTGCTCCTTTTTTTTTAGTAGGGGTAGATTCTCTGAATTTTTAATATACGAAATCATCTATGAATAAATTCAATGCTTTAGTAATATAGAATTTTTCTATAAGTAAACTTAAAACATTATTAATTACTATATTTTTGTGTATTTCATAAATATTGATTCTATGTATACATAATTTTAATGTTGTGGGAATGACCTAATTTTTCCTCTCTTCCCAAACTTCATTTTATTAGGATATTTTTAAACTATATTGATATAGACCTCATTCATTAATTAATTTCATCCAGCAAACATTTATTCTTTAATGAAGAATTGATTAGATTGGCCTTCATTCCTGATTCCATTGGCCTCCAATTATTTTTACTTCTGTTACTCTAGAATTTGGTGCTTTTAGACCCCATTATAATATTAGCCATTGGTTTATTGAATCTAGCTTTTGTTGTGTTTTTTTTTTTCCAATTTGCTTAAGCCAAAATTTCAGTTGACCAAAGCAGTTCTTTTTCATAACCATCTTGATAATTTTTCACTTTTGATCACTAATATATAGTAACTTCCCAAGTTTGTCTCTAATATTAAGTCTTAATGTCAGTATTATTGATATAAGAATAAATACTGGCACAGTAACCCTCAGTGTACCAGATTTTCAGCATATGATGCCTCAGAATATTTAGATTCAGGAATACAATTTATATAATTTACATAATTTCACACTGAATTTAATAAGTAACTTGAGTGACAAATATTTGATCCCAAAGGACAGTTTCAAAACAACTTTTCTGTTTTTCTTACATAAAATCTATAATAATCACCCACCAAATTAGTGTCAGTAAATAAGTATTCATTGAGTGACTAGTCTGTGAGCAGCACTGTATTCTGAGGAAACTGTAAGACTGTGTTTGCCCTCATTAGATTAGATTTAGTTCAGGAGTTATGACTAATATGTAATAATGACAAAAACAATATTGACAGTAGTAATACTAACACACTTATGTAGTGCTTTGTGGTTTGTATAGTACACATATTATTCCCCTCATTTTATAGGTGAGGAAACTAAAGTTTAAAGAGTTTAAGAAAGTTAACCAAGGTCATGTAGCTGAGCAAATGTTGGAGCCAGGATATACATGCAGGTCTTTGAACATCAGTGTTCTTAATAGACACCATATTGTCTTTCACTTATCAAAGAATGTAAGGCAGTTCAATTATAACTGTAGTAAGTTTAAGTATTGGAGTTTATATTAAAAAAAAAATAGAATTAGTGAGCACTAGAGATTCAAGCCTAAGGAAGCAGCCAGATTAGATGACCTCTAAAGTCTCTTATAAATTCTGAAATTCCATGATAAACAGGAAAAGCTTCCAGAGGAAGCAGCACTTATGCATGGCTTTAAAGGATTTTTGATAAACAAGGAAATCCAAAGGATGAGCAAGTACATAAAGGCAGGATTAAGCAGAATACATTTGCCAGATTATGCAAATACCAACTACATCAAAATAAAACATCTCTATTAGGAAATAATGGCAAATAAAGTCTCCTAGAGTAAAAGTCAGGCAAGAGAATTTAGACTTGATACAGTGGAAAATAACCAGAGAGAGTTCTTAGATAGATGAATGACCCAATAAAAAATGAGAGTTAAGGAATATTATCAGCCTGGCATTAGTATGGAGGATGAAGGTAAGAAACAGTGGAATCATTAGGAAGCTGTTGCAGTAATTCAGGTATGAAAGGATGAGGGCCTTGGCTAGAAAGATGGAAGTTAAGAGTAGAAAGGAATGGATGAGTGTGAGAAATATGACAATGCTAGAATCAGATGTACTGAGTGACTGACAGGAGATATATGAGGATGAAGAACATAGAAGAACATTCAACAACCAAGTTAAATATGTAGTACAAAGTTTTTATCAAAGAGACTTGAAGCACATGTACAAGATAAATTAAGATTAGGCTGTGCATTTGTTTAAAGTTTAAACTCAAAAATCTTCGAAACCAACAAATGAATGTAATTTATGCTTCACCTTAGTCTGTTTTTATAAGAATCTTGCCCTTCTTTTTCCACTGTAAGCATGATTATTCTATACATAACTTCAGATATATTGACACAAATACTGTTTAAAATGAATAAAAGCTAGGTGACTTCTTTGATGTAATTATAGAATCATAGAAATCAACAAAAGCATAAAAATCTGAGGCTGAACAAACTTCTCTAGAAACAAACAAGACAGTTAACCTGGGCCTTTTCAGTTCCCCAAAGTTCTAATCAGAGTTACATATCACCTCTCAAGCTACCAAGCTTTTTTAAGCAATTAAGTCACCATTTTCATTTGTTATTCATTTTTTTGTTGTTGTTCTCTGGTACAGTATTCTATACAAAATCCATTTTCTTTTAGAAATGTTTATGCCTGTTATAGGAAATTGAATTTCTTGAGTATCTTTTTCTTTAACATTTGTCTACTTAACAGGTTTAACATCTGTCTGTGGTTCTTCTGGCCCTATTTTAACTTTCACTTGAGCACTTCTCTTTTCTTTATGCATGTTTACTAGCATGGTATCTCTGCTGATGGTTGTGTTCTTATATGATGTTAAAGGTGTATCAGAATTTATCTTTGCACTGAAATATAACAAATCAATTTAAGTATTAAAAAGTTTGTGCATAAGCATATAAAATATAGCATTATAGTCAGTTTTAAAAATTAACTGGACTTCTTGATTTAATTGTAATTTTTGCTTTAATGGCATTTTTCTCTGTACTAATGACAGAGAAAATTGAAGTACTACAGTGTCTCTTTGGAAATATCATTTGAGTCCAATGTATTTTTTAACATTTATAATATTCTGTTAGAAAATTCTAAATTATGTGATTTATTTATGTGATAAAATGTCAAAACAAAAAAAAACTTGAAGCAAACTTTTATTTCATAGTATTTCACTACTTAAATGTTTTTCCTGTGGAATCATTCAGTGAGCATCCAATACATTTAAAGTTTTCATCTTTCATCTTAAATGTATAGATGTGTGATAGAGAATGTGAAGTTTGTTTTTCAGTTTTATTTGTGACCTGGATATTACACTGACATATTTGTACTTTTTATAGAGGAGGGCTACGTAAAAATGTTTCTTCGTGGACGCCCTGTTACCATGTACATGCCCAAAGATCAAGTGGAATCTTACAATTTGGAAGCAAAAGTAGAACTACCAACCAAGAGACTTAAACTGGAATGGGTGTATCCTTTATTTGTCTGTTGTCATGTTGGAAGTTATTAGTTGGTTGAGGTTCATTTTAAGTTTTATTTGGATTCTTTAAAAGGTTTGTAAAATTAAAAGCTCAATTCCATTGAAAAAGTAAAACCATAATTAGATATTTTATTACATTCAATTCAATTCAATTCAAAATAGACACTTAACACAGTGTTTTGAAAATACACTCAGTAGAGATCTTGTGATATAGTGGGTAGAGCCCTGGCTCTGGAATCAGAGCTTAGTTTGAGTCTTGGCTGTGTGCCATTACCATTTTTGGGACCTCATCTCTGTGAGATACGTTTGGACTAGACCATCTCTAAGATTCTTTTCAGCTTCACCATTCTGTGAAAAGGTATTGATTTACAGAAAAGCTGTTTTCTTCACTAAGATGGAATATTGCTGTGTTTTCGACTCTATAGTACATTGTAATGAACATTTGCCTTTTCTATAAAAGTAACATTAAAATGACATCTGTTAGAGTCAAGATGATATATAGTGGATAAGGCACAGGATTCAGAATCAGAAGACCTGAGTTTGAGTACTAATTCTAACATTTGCTGGCTACATGGCCATGGGCAGTATACTCAAACACACTTGAGCCTTAGGTTCTTTATTTGTAAAGTGGAGGAAATAAGATTTTAATTGCTTACCTCACAGGGTCATTGTGTAGAAGCTTTGAAAAGCTTAAGGCACTACATAAACATAGTGTTTTTTGCTTGTAGTCGTCATGACTATATTCTTAGGAAGAATTTTTGTGTGTCAGTATTGTTTGTTCAGACTCGCTTTAGTCGTGTCCAACTCTTCATGACCCCATTTGGGGTTTTATCGGCAAAGATATTAGAATGATTTGCCATTTCCCTCTCCAGTTCATTTTACAGGTGGGGAACTGAGGCAAACAGAGTTAAGTGACTTGCCCAGAGTCCCGTAGCTAGTAAGTGTCTGAGGCCGGATTTGAACTCATGAAGATGAGTCTTCTTGATTCCAAGCCCAGTGGTCTATCCACTGCACTACCCAGCTTCTCCATCAGTATTACTAACCTTAATTTCAACTTTCCAATAAAGAAAAATCAGTTGAAGACTTAAAAATAGAGGGAAAATCTTAGTGAATATAACCATAAATTGGTGGAACATAGGCCTATAAAGTAAAAGAAAGACCCTTCTTTTTTAAAATAAATTACCCTAGTAAGTAAGCTTAATCAACCATTTATGTCCTTTGAAGAAGGAATTTTAAGTGATTTGGGAGATCCAGATGTTCACAAAAGGATGTTTTTGCCCACGAATGAAAAATCCAGGAAGGGTAGGAAGAACATATTATACAGAACTCTAAGAAAATAGTAATGCCATGGGGGAGCTAGATGGCACAGTGGATAGAGCACTGGCCCTGGAATCAGGAGGACCTTAGTTCACATCCAGCCTCAGACACATGATACTTACTAGCTGTATGACCCTAGGCAAGTCACTTAACCCTGATTGCCTCACCAAAAAAAAAAAAAGAAAAGAAAAGAAAAGAAAATAGTAATGCCCAAAATGGGAAGTAGACAGTGTTTCTTTGAAGTATTATTAGATGTCCAGAGTTTATAGGAGTAAAACCCAAAGTAACAAATGAGGTTCAACTTGTATTGGCAAGGCCTAACTCAGTTCATGGTTAGCATGCAATGACACATTAGCAAGGCATAAAATAATTTTACTAATAACAAAGAATTTTAAAAGACAATTCTTAAAGTTTAAAAAGGAGAGTACTTAAAATGTCAAATCCCTGACATCTCTAAATTCTCCATAGGAACAGACCTCACTAAGTCAAAAAGGCGTTTCTTGTTCATAAGTCATTCTGTCATTCATTTGTGACTCTGTGACCATTGCATGCCAGGCCCTTCTGTCCTCCACTATTTCTTGAAATCTATTCAGTTTTATGTTCATTGTTTCCATGAACTATCTAGCCATCTCATCCTCTACTGTCCCCTTTTTCTTTTGCCTTCAATCTTTCCCCAACATTAGGATCTTTTCCAATGAATTCTGTCTTGTCATTATGTGGCCAAAATATTTAAGCTTTAGCTTCAACATTTGACCTTCCAGTGACTTTCCTGAATTAATTTCTTTAAATATTGACGGATTTGATCCCCTTGCTGTCCAAGGGACTCTCAAAAGTCTTCTCCAGCGCCACAGTTCGAATTGTGGCTTTTCTTGAGGGCAATGGAAATTCCACTAACACCTCTGACACCATCTTCCTATAGTGTATATAGGGGTTTTATAGGCTTCATGTAGCACCAAAACCAAACCAGTGATGATCCCAAGAACAGCCTTCTTAAAGGGAAAGGAAGTTCACCTACATGAAATAAGTGCTACACTTATCACAATTTGCAAGGGAATATCATTGGGAAAAATGAAGATGCTCAAGATAAGAGTTGTTGGGGGGGGTAAGGGAGGATGTGGATGATAATTCATATTTTTATAAAATCTCAGAATTGAGTAGGACTTCAGAGATCATTTAATTCAGCCCTTGCCCATATGGAAACAAGTTCCACAACATTTCTAGAGTTGAACATTAAGCTGTCACTTAAAAGACCTCTAGGGAAAGGATATGCAATACCTTACAAAGTAGGCTATTCAACTTTTTTTGAAAAATTATTCTTAAACACTAAAACAATGAACGTTTCCATATGTATAGCAAAACACAAAAAGAATTATGTATGGAATTTTAAGCTTCTGGTTTTTTTTAAGAAACATATTTTACATTAAACTTTACTTTTATAGCTATCCTGCTTGTTTGTGCTTCCTTTTGAACTTTTATGTTATCTTCTGTGCATTTTAAAATGTTTAAAATGTTTGAATAGCCTTTTTTGTTTTGCAGCAGTACTGTTAACCATCTCTACCCCTCATAATTCTTCACCTCATTTGAAAACAGGGGAAAAAACCACCCTCATAACAAATTAACATCAACAAGAAAAACAAAACCCACAGTGGCTGTGTCCAAAAATGTTTGTCTCGCCTCTTGGTTAGGAGGTGGTTAGCATGCTTCATTTCATCATAGGACCCTCTGGCAATGTGGTTCATCATTGTTTTAATTAAATCACTCAGGTCTTTTGAAGCTGTTTATCTTTACAGTGTTGTTATTATATAATTTGTTCTTCTTGTTCTGCTGACTTTACTATGCATCAGTATATACTTCACGGAATTTTCTAAAATTGTCTCGTTCATAATTTGGTGCAGTGCAATAATAATCCATTACATTCATATGCCCTATTTTGTTCATCCATTCCCTTAATTTCCACTTCTTTTCTTCTTGTCTGCTTTTAATCTTCCCCTCAGGATCAGAAATTTTGTTTTGCTTGCTGCTATCCTCTCCCCTGCCCCCAATACTGTCCTCTTAACCTCTCTCTCCTTATCCCCATCTGTTTCCCTGTGGAGCCTGATGCATTTCTAAATCAAACTATATGTCTCTGTGTTCAGTCCTCCTCTATTTGTCTCAGATAGGAATGAGGGTCATCTGATACCCACTTCCTCTTACTCCTTCCTCCATATTTTGTATAATTTTCTTCTCATCTACCCCAATTATGAAAAGTAGCAAGTACTAACTCCCTTATTCCTCCTTTTTGTTCACTAGTGTGTTCCTTTTTACCCTTCTTTATCTGTCCCCTCTTAATGCCTACAGAATGGAACCAAAGCACCCCTAGATCCTCTCTTTTTCTTAGTTAACTATCTAACTACCCTTTAAAACATCAAAGTTCTGAGGGGGCCCTTGTTTCTTCTCCCCCATTAGAATGTTAACAGCATCATCCGATTGCTCAAATAAATTTACCTATTTCTCTTGACTCCTGTATTTGTATTTCAAAGTTCCTACTCAGCTTTAGTCTTCCCATCAGGAATACTTAACAGTCCTCTATTCCATTAAAGGCTTATTTCTTCCCCCTTAGGATTATATTCAGCTTTTCAGAGTAAGTTATTCTTGATTGTAATTCTTGGTTGTAAGAACATACCTTTTGCCTTTTGTAATATTGGGTTCCAATTATACACTTCTCATTCAGAGTAGAAACTGGCAGTTCTTGTGTGATTCTTGACTGGTTCCTTGGTACTTGAGCTACTTCTCTTTGGATGCTTGTAAGAATTTTTTCTTTGATGCGGAAATTCTTCATTTTAGCTTTGACATTTCTGGAAGGTTTCTTTTGTGGTTTCATCTGGAAAGTGATTGGTGGATTCTTTTTATCTTTACTTAACTTCCTCATTCTAGTAGATATGGGCAGTTTTAATTTATTATTTCTTGAAATATATTGTCCATACTTTTTTTTATTATGGTTTTTGGGGAGTGCAATGATTTTGAAATTACTCCTTTGGGATCTTTTGATTTTGATGTCAGCTTATGTTTGCTTCTGTTTTTTCAATCTTTTGTCTTTGTTCTATTATTCTTTGCTGTTCATAAATTTTGATTAGTCTATTCTAGTTTTCAAGGAGTCTGTTATTTGAATAAAGTTTACTTCTTTTTCCTCCAAGCTGTTTATTCTTCTAATTCTTTCCTCTAGAGCTCTTATTTAAATTTTTATTCATCATTTTGTTTCTTCCAGGTATTTATATAGCCCTTGTGGAAAATTGGAAAATCTTATTTTTTCCTTTTAGTCTCTTCTTGCAATAAGAATAGTTCCAATGATTATGAAATTATTCTTTCCTAGTTTAGATTTTTGGTTGTATCTGGATTTTGTTATAGTGGGCAGTGATTTTGGTTTTTCTCACTTCTCCAGCCTTGGTTTCTGAAGTGGGGCTTTCTTCTAGGGCATGCTTTCCTCCCCCCTCCCATTCCACTTTTGGGTGGGATATTTAGCTTTGCTTTTTTTCAGACTTCGTCATTTATGTACCTGACTTCTGTTTTTCCAGATTAGCCCTCCCTGGATTTTTGAGGTTCAATATACTGAATCATCAGGGCCTCATATGGTGTCTCCTGTGGCATGAGGTAATCTCCTTTTATGAACCTGTTTACCCCACGGTGTGGGCTTCCCCATTCTGTATACAGCCGCATCCAAACTCGTCTTTGAAACGTGGGCTTTTCTCAGCAGAGCCCTTCATTCTTAATGCCTCAAGACAAAACGCCTTGCCAACTACTAAATCTCTGATCCATCTCTGGTCACACTGAGAGGCTTCCAGGTAATATGAAGAAAGACTTGTTTGCTTGAAGTAACATTGACATGGCTAGTAGTCCTAAAAGGTCTGGCTGACTTTTTATGCAGTTCAGGAGTGTGAGAAGTCATATACTAAAGCTTTTTATTGGATTTATTGATCACTATTTGGTCTGGTGCATTTTGATTTGTTGTTTTTTGTTTTGTTTTTTGTTTTTTGCTGAAGTAGTTATATGGGAGCTCCACTGCCTTTTTCCATTCAGGAAACCCTCTTGTCTGGGCCCTATTCCACTTTTACACCTAATTATTTTTCTTATATTAAGCTGAAATCTATCTCCCTGTTTTTTCCATTAACTGGTACTAGTTGAGGGACACACAAAATAATTTATTTTAGTGTAATCGGCCTTAACGATGTAAAAGTCATGATCATGCCCCCTCCCAAGGTTTCTCTTCTACAAACTAAATGGTCCTGGTTTCCTTAACCTACTCATTGACAATGGTTCCCTCTTACCATCCTTTAGATCCTCTGGATCCTCCAGATTCCTAACATGTGGTGTCCATGGTTTGTTCAGCCCTGTCTCTTGACAGGTTCCCTTGGTTTCCAGTTCTTTGCCACTACAGAATGAGTTGCTGTAAATATTTTTATACATATAGGTACTTCCTCTTTCTTTGATTTCTGTGGGGGTATAGGCCCACTGGTGGTATTGACAGATCAGTGAGTATAGATGGTCCAATAACTATGTATATAATAGGCAATGAGTTTTAGAAATCAGTAAGTGAAGTTATTTCATTCTCTTTTCAGTCATTAGAATTTCATTTGGTTGATCTATTGGGAGAAAATAATAGAAACACTTTTTATTCTACTTTCAGTGAACATTTAAGGATAATTGAATATGACAAGTTTTTTGGAACCTCAAAAAGCAATTTTAACTAGATTTTTGAGGAGACTTAGAAAAAAAATTTTTAATTTTGTTTTTATTATTAAAGATAAGGTTATATCAATAGAAGAAATAAACTAGAATGTAATAAGCAATGGAATCAAAACAGAAAGTAACAGATATTTTGTTTTCAAAGAATACCTTCACCACCACCAAAAAAAAAATCATGCAGCTGTATCTTCTAAACTTCTTTGTCATCCCAGGTGAAGCTAAGTGGGGAAAGGACATGACTAGACCATCATCTCTCAAGAGCAGAGACCTCACATCTGACTAATTAGTATTTGCTGATCTTAGAACTTTGTGCTTCTTCCTCCATGTTGCTTTCTTGACATTACTGGGATAACCCTAAATTGTTTAGTTTCTTACATTATTATAGCCATGAGCCTTACTGGTATGTTTCTTTTTGACAATTGGCTAGATTTCAGTTAGTTTTTAGCTAACATATATTACTGAGATGAGAGCAGTTGGTAATAAACATCCTGGCAAAGGTCTGGAATGAACTTTCCCAAAAATCTTCAGGCGAAGGCTAGGTTTAGAGTATGATGTTACTGAGGTACACGTAAGGAGATTATGCATGGCTGAAGAGTAAACCCACAACTCTTTATTACTGGAAGACCTCTCTTGAGTCCATATGTCTTTCCCAGGTGGCTATCTTTCTGTTACTGTCTGTATTTATGTTTGTCCTTGATGTGTCTCCTGGATGCATTGTCTGCTACTGGTCCAGTCTCTCTGTTAACATGGTCAGTCAGTAAATGCAGGGAGTGATGAAGAGTATATTGTTCCCTCTGAGCTCCCTCCCTGTCCTTCACCCCCATGTCCCTGTGTTATAGGAGAATGGGTCTGACTCCTCAGGTACTCCAGAGCCTTGAATGTTCCTTGATTGCTTTGCAACTAGAATAGTCTACTACTGAAATTCCTGTATTCTCTTTAAAGTCTTCAGAGGATTGGTTAACCAATCATGATCTTCCTTTCTTGATCTAATAAAAGAGGCTTATGCCTCACAAAAGTATCACAGGGTATAAGCAATCTTAATTACAGATTATAAAAACTGAATCTAACACTTGCATTGATTAGTTGAAGTAGAGGATATATAACCTCCTCCCTTACATTCACTGAGGCTCTTTCATAGAAATGAGATCATAGCTTCATATTTTTGGTAGTATTTGAGGCTATATACTTATAATTTTTAAAGAAAATTTTATGAACAAATCTTCTGTTAATTATATTGGGGAACCAATGTTGTGTGAATCTCAGATTAAAGAGCCATTCCAATTAGATGTAAATTAGTGCTGACCTTGATCCTATTAAATGTTGAAGCAGTGCTTAGTTGCAGATTTCATACCATAAGTTTGTATCTGTAAGTAATATATAACTGGGAAGCTACTTAGTGGGTGCTGATTAATAAACTTGAGTATTTATTTCCCAGGGTCATGAGGCTTAAATAATTATTGTAATATAAGTACTTTATAACTAAAGAGCTTTGCCAATGTAAAACACTTTATCAATCTCTTATTAATAAATAGTGGTTGAAATTGAACTGGATGTCTTTTAATAGCAGAAAAGATAAGATCTTCTCTACTGTCCCTCTTGGTTGTTTTTGTTAAATAAAATATTCATTCAGTTCAACTTATCATTTAAAAGCCCTCGTTGTGTAAAGTCCTATATACAAGTGACAAGTGAAGAAGACCGAGTTTCTTAAGCTCCCTTTGGGTGCTATTAATCAGCTATCTGATTTAGGAGAATGATGAAGAAATATAACTATACAAGACTAAGGAGATGAGGTTCAGAATTGGAGCGTGGTAAAGGGGAGGGAAGGAGAGAATAGTAGTTCAGGATGGTGGAAACAGGACTACCCTGGGATTCAGATATCCTGACTTTCAGTTTGGGAAGGAAAATGGGAGCAAATATGCTTAGATTCCCTATTGCCTCTCAAAGTTTAAAATGGTATAGTTAAATCTTCTCTTTAAAAGTTTAAAGATCCTATGAAGAAAAGGAGTAGAAGATGGTTTGGAATGAAAACAGGAAGAGACTAGAGCTAAATGCAAAAAAGAAAAGAGCAGTAGAAAACAAAACAAACTTTGAAACAGGATTATTCCAAGAGTATTGACAGAATAAGTTTCAGAAAGTAATCATTAGTAATTTAAGATCTGATAAGATATGATAGAAATGAAGGCAAGCTTGAAATAAATCCTGATGGATGAAATTCCTCTGTGGGTGAAAGAAACATTCAGGCAAATTCAAACTACACATAAAAGATGTTGAATACCTGATGCCCTCCTCCAGATATATCTGCTACTATCCTGGCAAACTAGAAATAGTTCACCTCCCAGTGATAACAAAAGCGTTTGCTTCAATAAGCTTTTTAAAAGTAAAATAATCATGTTAATCATTTGATTTTCTTATGTAGTTATAAAATTAATCTTTTTAATTAATATATGTTTTCAAAAAATAATATGTCTAGATTGGGGGGGAAATGGGTTAAGGTGTAAAAAAAAAAGAAACTTTTTTGGTAGAAAAAAAGCGTTGACTGATAGTTTCCTGTTTAGCAGTTTGTATAATTTATATCACATTCTATGTCAGAATAGAATTTCATAGCTTATACTGGTCAAACACAGTTAAAAGTATTTTAATTAATAATGAACACATCTAAAAGAAATGTTATTTCACCTTGACATACTAATAAGCTATGGGTATAGGGGACGAGATTGTCGTAACAACCTATACCTACTTCCAACAGGTGAAACTGTATATTTCATTGCGTCAGTAGTAGTGTTATACAATGTTGAAGAACAACTTCAGAGACATTATACTGGTCATAATGATGATGTGAAGTGGTGAGTGTTCAAATTTTTCAATTATTGATCTGTGCTTTAAGACTTTAGATTGTCTCAGTGCAAAAGTATTAAAATAAAAGTTGTTATATTGGGATTAATATAACAGGCAGCATTGTGTACTGGAAAAAACACTGGGCTTGGAGTCAAAGACAGGTTAGAGTCAAGCCTCTACTGTTTACTGGGATGGTAAGTCACTTTACCACTATTAGCCTCCTTTTCTTCATATGTAAAATATGGGGCATGTATAAGCATGATAATGCTTATGCTACCTACTTCACAGAGTTTTTGTGAGGAAAGAGCTTTCTAAACTATGAATCTCTAAACATAAGAAATATGAGCAGTTGTATTATTGTTGAGAAATATCAAAAAGGCAGGAAAGGAAAGGATCAAATGAAATAATATTTTAATAAGGGCTTTTTACAACCTTAGAGTAAAATTTAAATATTGCTATTATTAACATTATTAAATAATTATTATAATTATTAAACCAATCATAGTAAATTAATCATGGTAAAATCATTTTCCATCAAACTAGAAAATCTCTTCCACAAAATTAAATCTTTCTTATTAGTTACCAGTGACTCTGTGCCACTCTGCTTACCTTATGATCATAGGTCAAGTAAACATGAATTTATTAATGCCTGCTGTGTGCCAGGTACTATACTAAGCCCTTGTATTATATGAAACTGACAGCACAAGAAGCTACTGCTTGACATTTGTTTAATAGCCATCTAGAGGATGAAAGTACAGACTAATTTCGTTTTCTTTTTTTCTAGTGAAGATATAGCACTTGTATTATTTTGATATATGAATAAACTATTATGTGGCTAAGACCTATATTTTCTTTAAATCCCTAAATTTTACATCACAGTCTTTTCACAGTTTAAGCATGTGGCCAGAGTATTAAAGAGACAGTGCTGACTTTTTTTTTTTTTGGTGAGGCATTTGGGGTTAAGTGACTTGCCCAGAGTCACATAGCTAGTGAGTGTTATGTGTCTTAGACTGGATTTGAACTCAGGTCCTCCTGACTCCAGAGCCAGTGCTCTATTCGCTGCACCACCTAGCTGCCCCTGACAGTGCTGACTTTTTAAATTATCCAGTAAACTGATGCTCAGAGAACAATAGCATGCTAGAACTGGAAGGGTGCTTTGACTTATGGAACAAAGAAAATGAGACCCTAAAAGTATACAACCACAAAACATAAGAATCTGAAAACGGTCTTAGAATCATAGACTATAGCATGTAAAAGTAGAAAGGGGCTTTTGAGATCAACTAATCCAGCTTTCCCACTGACTAGCTATGTGACCTCAAGTAAGTACCTTCACCTCCATGGGCCTTAATTTTCCCTTATATAAATGTTTCCATAGCTAGTTAGTAGAAGAACTAGGATCAGAATTTAGGTCTTCTGCATCATGGTCCAGTGTTCTTTCTACTACTCTTCCATTGTATGCCATTACAGCCTTCGTCTTCATTTGTATTTATATATCCTTGTTGTGACTTCCCAGTGGATTGTGACATCCTGAGGAAATGGATGGTGTCTTTATTTTCACTGGTTATTCTCCAGTATATCTAAGCTCCATGTAACAATTATTAATAAATGTATTTGATTAATCACATTAGTAGATCTCGTATTTAAAATAGTACCTTCTAATCATAATTTTAAGGAGTATCTAGATACTTCATGAATTATTTTGATCCTTTTGAATTTAAAAATTAATAATATTTTCCAATTTGAAAATCATTCTTGTGTGAGAGAAGCAAAAGACCTTCTAACACAGATTAAAAAAATTAATCATGGATGATAGCCAAGATGATAGGAAAGTTATTTGAAAATGTTTAATGAAATTGGAATGGCCAAATGTAACCATACTTTGCAAAATGTTCATAGGCCCATAGATTTAGATCTGGAAGAGACTTAAAAGTTATGTAGCTCAATACTCTCCTTTCTACAGATGAGGAAAACGAGGCCCAGAGAAGTGATTTACCCAAGGTCACATAGGTTCTAGGTGGCAAGCCCAGAATTTGGACTCAAGTCTTATGACTCCAAATCAAGGATTCTTTCCACTGCCCAATCATTATTGTTTCATAATAACATAGTTAATACAATTTAACTAAAAGGCACTATAATAACATTATGAAACTTGATTGTAACATCTTTCATCCAATCACTTATAATGAGATGTAATAGTGAGATGCAAATAAGATAGAAAAACTGTTTTGGGTAACAATTAATAACTTTAAGTGAAATATGCCTGTAATTTATACTGTGTCTGAAAACATTTAAAATTATTTATAATCTAAGTTGATTAAACATCATATACAGATGAATTATATTTGGAATAATATAACTAAAGCTTATTTTTAAAGTATACATTTTTAACAAATATTCCTTTTCTAGCCTAGCAGTTCATCCTGATAGGATCACCATAGCAACAGGCCAAGTTGCAGGTACATCTAAGGATGGAAAAGTGAGTTGATATATTTTTCATGTAATCAAAATAAATCAGTGTCAGGCAAGAATTATATATTGGTAGTATTGAAATAACCTATTTAGTAGTTATATTATTCAGTGACTATTTAATCACTTATTAGAACCGAACTTTAATTTCTAATAAAAAAATTTCCAGACATTTAAGATTAAAATAATCTTATCCACCAAGTTCTAATCCTGTGCCTCCTTTTGGCATAGAGGTGATCCTGGGCTCCCAAAGTCTATGCAAGTGAAGAACAAGCTCTGATAGGTTCTAACATACTGGCATGCTTTTGTGCGTGGTCCTAGCATTGACCAGCCTGGCTAAATTCAGAGAAACTGATCACCAGTAGTTTGGTCACCTGGTGATGAGTTCTTTGTCCATGACCACCAGTGAAGCAAGAAAAGTATAAAGTGGCCCTTAGTTTTGTACATGTTCCTTCTATTTTTATAATGATGGTGACAGTGTGACAGAAAAGGGGACTGTACACATACTTTTGTTAATTATAACAATCCCTAAATTCTCATTTCAATGAAGGTAATCAGTAAACATTTATTAAATGTCTTCTATGTGCCTACTATATTGGTGGGGAGGAGTCAGAAAGTGAATGATAAGGGAATATTAAGGAAAAAAGGCTGAAAAATACCAAATATTTTGAAAGGAAGAAAATTCCACTAAAAACTTAATGCACAAGCAGATAAATCGACAGAAAGAACTCCTAAAACTAGAAGGAAGGGTGAGTACCAAACCTCAAAGAAAATATAAAGCTTTCTTTAAAAATATTACAAGAAAAAGGAAAGTGAACCAATGCCTAATGAAATAAAGAACTCTGTGGAATTCCAGGAGAACATGTAATAAGAAGAAATTCTAGAATGGTTCAAAAGACACTTGAAATCTGTAAGAAAAAAAATTAAAAAGGAATAAATGTCAGAATTTATAGCTTTCACAGCAGGCATAATTAGCAGATTAGAAAAAAAAAAACTTGAATCCACAGGAGCTGGTTTCCGCAAAGAAGTGAAAGAGAAAACAACATGTTTGGATTACAAATATACTGAAGTAGAGAAGAGCGAAAGGCAGTAACATTAAAAAGAATACATGATTTCTATATAAACTAACAGCACTGACCCTTAAAGATAGGCTGTGCAAAACAACTTAAGGATTTTACGTTTCCCAGAAAAAAAAACTTGGCAGATTGAATAGCCTGAATACTATAATTCCAGAAATATTATAAGAAAATTGCCTAGAGCTTCTGAATATGGGAAAGAAAGCCCCATTCAAAAGACTTCACAAGTCACTTAAAGGAAGAAAAAAAACAATAATAACCATATACTTCAAACTGAAGACACACAGTGGTTAAATTTAGTAATTCCAGCTACAAGCAACAAATTCTGCCAATAATCAGAAGACTTTCAAATACAAATGAAAGGAAATTTAAGTAACCTAATATTATTCTTTACCATCTAGAACCCCAAGGAAGGAATAGTATATTCTGAAAAGTAAAGGAGCTAAAGATGCAAATCAAAATAAAAATTTCTAGAAAAAGACAGCCTAATGTTCAACATAAAAAGATGGGCAATCAACAAAGGAGACACGTTTGAGGAAGCCCCCTCCAAAAAAAAATGTGAGCTGAATATTCAAGCTGTAAACACACCCAGATGACAGAAATCCAAGAAAGGTAAATAAATACATTACCAAGGAAAGTATAAGTAATAAAATACTTGTAGAGAGCTCCATAGAATATTTTGAAAAGGAAGAAAGCCTCATCTTAAAAAAAAGAAAAGATCACTAGATTTCTTAAAGTACACACTAGATTTCTTAAAGATAAAGATGCAAGGAGAATGTAAGAAATAGAAGTAAAAGTAGAGAAGCAGAACTGAAGTACCACACACTAAATCCCACAATCTTCTATAGGTGAATCAGTCAATCAATAAACATTTTATTAAGCCCCTACTATGTGCTAGGCACTTTGCTAAGTGCCAGGAATACAAATGCAAAAAAGAGAAAGTCAGTGCTTGCCCTCAAGAATTCTGCAGTCTAATGGGAGAAGACATAGAAACACACAAAAGGAAGCATAAAAATGGGAAAAGAGGAGAGCTGAGGGCATGGTGAAGGTCCAGTCCAGGAATGAGAAATTAAGAGATGGCTGGCCTAGTAACCCTCTTGAAATGGAAGCTTTGGGAGGAGTACTTTGCTTCACCTTCCAGCCCTCCAGTCAGAGGGACAGAAGGTACTGAGGGTACAGAGAAGTGAGTGCCAAAACTGATGCAGTCTTGCAGGATGACAGATATTTTATGATGAGGTTTTCTTGGGGCATAGAGTCTAGTCCAAGGAGTGTAAACTGTTGGAAAATGAAATCAGTATATTTTGTGGGACAAAATGGCAGAGTGGGAGGATGCATAAATGGAGAGAGAGGACATGGAGGAGAGAGTATGATACACTCTTATCAAGTCTGTGAATGAACAGTGAAGGGCTAATAACCCTTGTATATTCATAATAAAGAGTTAAAGGAGAAAGAGGGGAGTGGCAGGAGGGATGGATTGAAGCTGGGGGAATATAACAGGGATGTCTCAACCAAAGGGGGGGAAGGGTTTCCAATAAAGAGCAAGTAAGTACCCTCATGGGGGAAGAGTTGTATGACTGCAATGGGAAATGGAAGCCTTACAATGAATTTAAGGTGTAAGTTGTTGATACACAGGGACACTACTTTCTTTCAGAGTGTGTTGTTACCTCTATGTATAACCTGTTGCTTTAGGAGAAAGAAAATTGGAACTCCTAAAAACAACTGGCACACAGAAAGGTGAGAGGTGATGAACCCAAAAATGAGACAGCATGGTCAATGGGAAAGAGACTGATTATGGGAAGGGCACAGTAGCACTGAGCTATGTGATTGGGTAGATGATAATTTCTACCATGGAGTACTGCTTCTATCCACATGATTTCCTTCATGAACCAATATTTCTAAGAGTGAGATGCAACATAAAAAAGATACAATAATGCAAGATCTATAAAGGGAGTAACAGAAATTGGTTAGAAGAAGGAGCTCAAATCATATACTTGCGACCTTTAACTACATAAGGAATATTTTAAAATTTAAAGAAAAAATAAATATATAAATCGCAAATCAGGGAATAAAAGTTCAGAATAGATAGAAAAGGAAGAGAATTAATGAAGACAACAAAGCAGAGACATTAGAAGTTAGAGGAGAGGATAGGAGAAGGTACTAACCACTTAGAGAAGGAAAAGAAGGCATAAAATAGATAACCAAATAAAAGAAAGAAAAATCAGTAATTGAAATTGAATCCCAAAATGAAAGAAAAAGGTGACAGATGGGGTAGAGGGGAGGAATATCTTATGGGAACAGGATGACATCAAAGTAATTAATCAAAATGAATCATATGAACAAAGTACTGACTTAAAATATGTAAGAGAACAAAAAAAAAGTTTCCTTAAAAGAGAGACAAAGACACAAATGAGAAAAGTATAAATCTTATTCTCATAACTTAAAATATTAATGGATTAGACAACCCAGTAAAATGAAATAAAATAATAGAGTGGGTAAGAAAACAAAACCCCACAATTTGTTACTGACAAGAAACACATCTAAATAGCAAAGACATACACAGGATCAAATGAGAGGCTAGAACAAAATTTGCTATTCATCAAATTAATTTTAGAAAAGCAGAATTTGATCTCAAAATATTAGAGATAAAAATTAAAATTCACAATATCAACAGAGATAAATAAGGAAATTGCATTATTTTTGAAGGAATAATAGACAATGAACCAATATCAATGTAAAACTTATATATACAAAGTGACATAGCATCCAAATTCATAAAGGAAAATTAACCAAATTGCAAATTTGCAAACTGCAAGAAGGTAGAGGTAATAGTAGGAGACATTAATATTTCTTTCTCAGGGCTAGACAAATCTAAACTTTCTTTTAGATTTAAAATTTAGATTTTAAAAATGGTTAAGACAGAATTGAACAAACTGTTGAAGAATATACAACTAAAACATTTTTGTTATCTTCTAGATGGGAATACCAAAGAATACACATTTATTGGCACTTTGTGACATTTGCATAAAAAATACAGAAAGCACAAAGAAATTCCAAGTAGAAGTGGAAAAGAAATGCTAAACTTACCCTAACAGACCACAATGTAATAAAAGTAGTGATCAATTTAGGAAGCATGAACAAAAGCATGAACAAACCTAACTAGAGATTGAATATTTAAATCCTAAATAGTGAGGAGGTCAAAGCACAAATCATAAAAACAACTATATGAAAGATAATTATAATGATGAGACAACATAACATTTCTGGGATTCAACTCAGAGGAACAAATCTTGTCCCTAAAAACATACATTGACAAAATAGAAAAATAAAAGGATTAATGATATAAATATATATAGCTATACATATATATATATATATATACACATACATACATACATATATATTAAAGTGAGAAAGCCAACAATAAACTTCAGTTAAGCGTAGAAGAGGAAATCTTGAAAGTTAGAGGGAAATAGATAATTTGGACACCAAAAAAACTATCTACAGCTGATAAAACTAGTTTTTTTTTAAAAACACTAACCAAGTTGATAAACTTTAGCCAATCTTATTAAAAACAAGGTAAAAAAATCAAACTGGTTGTCCAATGAATAAACAAACACTTACTAATGACTTACGTGCCAAGCACTGTACTAAGCACTAGGGGTACAAAGAAAAACGAACAGTTATCCTTGCCTTCAGGAAACTTATAATCATGGAGCAGGCAGCATACATACATACATACATATATGTGTGTGTGTGTGTAATATAATAGAATAAAAAATAAAGAGTAGATGGTAATCGTAGGTGGGAAGGGATCAGAAAGAGAACTCAACAACCAACCCCGTATTTCTTCCATCTTAAAACACAAATTGCCTGAGAACAAGCTCCCTCTTTGACAAAAACTGCTGAGAAAATTGGAACGCATTCACAGAAATCA